TCAAAAATGTTTTTTTTTATATTTCGTTTCGTTACAATAGTCATTTTACAAATGACCCACACTTACACACAGACAAAGATTTTATGTTGTTCGAACATCTTGATCTTTTTTTTCCACCATTTACAATCTAATAATAAAAAAAAGCAAAAACATTTCTTTTTTTTCCTGTTTGATTATAACATCTTGTTTGTTGTTGTTCACTTAATATCATCATAAACAAAATAGAGAGAAAGAGAGCAGAGAGAGAGAGAGAGAGAAAACAGATTATAAAAAGATGATATTATTATAATTTCCTCATGTTTTCATTCCATTAACAATTATCATTATTATTTATAAATAATATAATTGTGTTATTGCTGAAGATTTAAGCTTGAATTATTCTTCTTCTACTTTTTTTTCATTTGTTTGCATCATTAAGATTTGTAATCGAATCGACAAAATTGAAAATCAAAATTTTCTGAAAAATATTCGGGGTATTCTAAAAAATGTTCAAATTTGCAAAATTGCAAGTTTGTAGTCAAAAAAAAAATCATTACAGACAGCAGAAAAAAGAAGAAGAAGGGATATGTAATGATCGTTAGCTAGTGTCCAATTCGAAAATCATCATCATCGATTTGATGATGACTTTTTTGTTTTGGTCGTTCAGACTTTAAATGATCATCATTATACCAAATATCAAACGATTTTTGTTGTAAATCGTTTCCTATCGCGATAAAAATAACTTTTTTTTTTGATGATGATGATGATGATGGTGGTGGTAGATTTGTAATTCTGGATTTTATTTTTGTTTTCAATCACATTTTGTTGTTGTTTACCAAATCGATTATAACAAATAAAAAAAAATATCTGGGTATCATCATTTGAATCAATTTTGTACCCGGATAAAATGTTGATGATGATATACACATTCAGAATGGAATGTGTTAATGAAGAAACATACCGATCACGGTTCGCCTACGATTTTTGTTCTTTTTTTTTGTTGTTGTTGTTGTAAATATTTTTATCATAATTTAATTATAACCCCAAAATTTCAATATTTTCCACTAAATAATCATTATCTGATTGGTGTTACACAAGTGTGAATCAAAAAAGAAAAATCAATTATTAATCAATTATAAATCAATTAAACCAATGATGATGATGATGATGATGATTATGAAATTTGATTAACAAGATTTTAATGAAATTCTTGAAAAAAATTGTTTACGAAATAAAAAATTAATTCCCAGGAAAATTTCCGAAAAGTTTTTTATTTAACATCAATGAAATATTACAACGATTTAAATACACACACACACAAGCAAAAAACAAACAAACAAACAAAAAGTTAATTCAATTTATTTTTTTTTTCAACGAAAAACTTTTAAAAAAATGTTTCAAAATTCTTATAAATAAATGTTTTGGGAAAAAAAACGAAAAAAGTTTCCATGGAAAAAAACCAGAATGTTTACATTGGGGAAAAAAAATTGTTGAAAAGACAAAAAACAAGAAATTCTTTTTGAAAAATGAATGAATGAATAATTCGGACATTGAACGCGTATGTTTGAAATTGAATACTTGAAACAAAGTTATTATGTTTTGAGTCAGAATTTGTTTATGTGAACTTGAATTTTTTTTTTGTTTTTTAACTGAATTAAATTTTCAAGTTAAAAATAAATTCTGTGAAAGTGATATATTTGAATTTTTTTTTAAAAGAAAATTACAAAAAAAAAACAACAACAAAACTAAAACAAGTTCAAATGAACTAAATCAATTCTGTAGAATGAAATAATGAGTGAGAGCGAGAGAGGGAGAGAGAGAGAGAGAGAGAGAGAAAAATTCTTTTCAAGAATTTTCGTTGTTTTCTCTCCCTACAATGCGATTATTGTCAACATTTGGCTATGATAAAATCAATGATAGATGT